AGGACCCGTCCGTCTCGTGCCCGTCGAGGGCGCGAGCTCGGGCGGCACGGGCGCGGGGCCCTCGAGCCGGCCCGTGTGCGCCGAGGCGGGGCCCCGAGGCGCGGGGCCCCCGGGGATGGGCGCGAGGGGGCCCCGCGCCGAGCGCGCGCTCTGCCCGAGGCCGCCCGCCCTCGGGGCGCGTCCATGTGCTCGGGCGGCGGCTCCAAGCGTGCGTTCGTCTACGATGCTGGAGTAGATCTATCCTCCTCCTCCTCCCCCCTCCTCCTCCTCCCTCCTCCTCCTCCTCCTCCTCCTCCTCCTCCTCCTCCTCCTCCTCGATCCTCTGGACCGCCAGTGCAGATAGAGTCCCCGTTTGGAGAGGGCTCGCTTATTTCTGGCCCAGAGAGTCCCCATGGGAGCCGCGGGTGGTGCGAGCTGCCCGGCCGCATTCCAACCCGAGAAGAGGCCACCCTTGTCTGTACAGAAGCCTCGGGGCCCCCAGCCCTCGGGCCGCCGCCCTCGGAGCTCCGCGCAGACTGCTCTCTCCGAGCCTGCGCCGAGCGTGCCCCTGAGGCGCGGCGCCTCCGCCCGCTGGGGCACCACCCCTCGGGGCGCCCGGCCCTCGGGCCGCCGCGCGGAGCTCCGCGCGGACTTCTCTCCGAGCCTGCGCCGTGCATGCCCCCGAGGCGCGGGGCTCCAGCGCCGAGCGAAGCCCCCGCGGACCTTCGAGAGCTCCGGGTGCAACTCCTGGGGGGTCAGATTCTGACTTCGCCCTGGTCCGAAATCCGGCGAAATCCGGCTTACTCCCGCTTGATCCGGCTTCATCCCGCTGAATCCCGCTTAATCCGGCTCAGTCCTGCTTAATCCTGCTTAGTCCGAGGCCCACTCCGGCGTAACAGCTCCCAAAGGGGGCTCAGTCCTCTTCAGACTCTTTCCGACGAGAACCTCCCCGTAGTTGCCTCCCGAGAGAGCGCATGTCTGCGTTCGTCCCTCCTCCAGGAGCTGGCGCCCGCTCCCGAGCGACCGCGCGGAGCCGGCCACCAGCGGAAGCGCCGGGGCAGCGGGGCCGCGGCGGTCGAGTGCCCAGCGTGCGCGCGGAGCGAGCGCGACGTGCCCGACGTGGTCATCCCGTTCTACGAGCGCGACCTGTGCAAGGTCGGGTACACAGTGAAGTCGATCGCCGTGCACGACCGCAACGGCACCCTGGGCGCTGTGATCCTCATGTGGGTGTCCAAGCAGCCGATGGCCGCGTTCCAGGGCGAGATCGACAAGGTCGAGGCGTCCCTTGCCGGCTCCCATAGGGTGAAGGTCTTGGACTTCTCCCCGCAGGTGAACTCGGTGGGCGTGGGGGGATGGTTCGCCCAGCAGGTCTTCAAGCTGAAGGTGGCGTCGCTGGTGAGCTCAGATTTTTACGTCGTTCTAGACAGCAAGAACACGCTGATCCGAGATATCGAGCCCGAGCTGTTCTTCACGCCCTGCAATCAGGGCAAGATCTTCGGGGAGTTCGAGCCCAATGGCATTCCCGAGCCGCATTCGGCCTGGTACGAGGCGTCCGCCCGAGTGCTGAATGTGCCGCCCCCGCTGGAGGCTGGCGGCAAGTGGCCCACCTCCATCACGCCGATGCTGATGCACACGCAGACGGTGCTGGAGATGCTGGCCTCCATCGGCGAGGACCCGGACGTGGGCGCGCTGTGCCAGGGCCCTCTGTGCGACATGCTGGGCGTGCACTCCGGTTCTGGCGCCACCGAGTTCACCATGTACGTGCTCGCTGCCCGTGCGAGGCCAGAGATGGAGTGCGACATCGCCGTGGTGGAGCCCGACGCAGCCAACCCCCCGGCGATCTCGCTGTGGAGAGGAGAGAGCGACGGGGGCCAGAGGAGGATCAACGAGGACAACTGCCGCGACATCTCCAGCGGCAAGACAACTCCGTTTATGTTCGGGGCGCAGTTCCAGTCCCTGGACGGCCTCGACGACGCTGGCAGCACCACGGTCGAGGCTGAGATGGTCCACATCTTCACGCGGGCGAGGCTGCACAATGCCTCCCTGACGTCCACAGACGCACTCATCCAGTGCGTGGCGGGCGACATGGAGGGCCGCGCGGGGCCGGTGTACGACCTGCCCGGCAGCGGCAGCGGCAGCGACGGCGGCGAGGACGACGGGGCGCCTCCGGAGCCCTTCTGCTGCACGGGCGCCTCGGACGCGGGGGACGCCTGCGGCACCTGCTACCCGGGCGCCCGCGAGGGGCCCGACAGCTTCTGCGGCGCCTCGGCGGACCGGTGCCTGCAGTGCGGCTCGGCCTCCTGGTGCGAGGGCGCGGCGGCGGCCGCCGCGGCGCACATCACCATGGTGGAGCACGGCCGCGCGGCGCCCGCGCTTCGGCGGGGCGCGCCCAGGGCTGCGTACTGGGCCGGCGGGGCTGTCGCCGCCGTGGCCGCCTTCTCGCTGGCCGCCGTCGCCCGGCGCGCGGCGCCACGCGCCGCGCGGCGGGTGGCGTACGAGAATTTGGCTGAGGCGTGCTGAGCGTCACCCTTGCTGGCCTGGGGTGGAATTCGTGCTGGAATTCGGCGTGGCCTGAGCGTCAGCTGGAATTCGTGCTCTCTCTTCGACGGGGCGTGGAATTGGCGTGTGCCAGACTGCTCCCATGCGTGCCTCTGGCCGCGCCGGCTCGTCGCGCGTGCGGCTTGACCTCCCATCTGCGGCCAATCGCGGCTCCAGGGATTGGTGCCAGCGCTCGTTCCTGGCTTGTCCTGAGTTCGAGCTGTGCCAGTGAGCGCGCCCTGGGCTGTAAGCTTTGCGGAGCCCGCGCGCGCGGCTTGGAGGAGTTCGGGGACAGAGCGGGCCACCAGCCACCGATGGATGGGAGAGTTTCGCAATAATTCGGTGCACATTGATATGATTCCTTGTTAGTGTGCTCTGGCAGTTAATCCAGTCGCGCTGCCGCGCATATTGGCTGCCGCGCTTGGGGGAGCTGCTTTAGCGTATCAACGCTTTGCAGAAGCGTTGCACGGCCGAGGTGTTGATGCTTACCACTGTGCTTCCAGGGGCCTTTGGGGCCTCCGCGGGTTCGCATGGCCTCTTGGGATCTTGGGCCATCGGGGGACGTCTTGGGCCTTTGTGATGTTCTGGGGCTGGCTCGGCCAGTTTCGGGGCCGTCCACCTGGGCCCGGCCACCGAATCGGCGGCGAACCCGGGCACCCGGGCACCCGGGCACTGGGGCACCCGGGCACCGGGCCCGGCCACCGAATCGGCGGCGAACCCGGGCACCCGGGCACCCGGGCACCCGGGCACCTGGGCACCCGGGCACCTGGGCCCGGCCACCGAATCGGCGGCACACCTCACCTACCCTTAAATCCGCTAGGACCCCTACAGAGGCAAGCTCTGATAGGGGAAATACGATTCATACACAACAAGAGTACGAAGACGAAACCGAATAATGACGCGAATGATATACAACTTTCAGTTGAATAGTAATATCTACCATGGGAATAGTTGTACTCAGACCACTAATGCTAACATTCGTTATGCTACTACTAATGATACTGATACTATTAGTCGTAATATAATATTATCATTATCGTTACCTTCTTACACGGAAGCACATTTCCTTCATTGTTACGATTATTAGCATTCATAACACTACTACTACTACTACTAGCAATAATCAATAATGACACAAGTGCGAAACATAATAAGACGAATGCTAAGAATACATATACTAACAATGATAATGCTACTAACAGTTATGAGACCAATACAACTACTATCAGAATACTAATAAAAAGAAGACGACCCATAACCAGAAGAAGAGGAGGAGGAGGACGAGGAGGAGGAGGAAGATGAGGAGGACGGGGCGGAGGAGGAGGAGAAGGAGGATGAGGAGGAGGAGGAAAATGGGAGGGGTGAGGGGTGGAAGCGGGGAACATGATAACACATTATATTTTTATTGAGAGAGATAGAAAGGGAGAGAGAGAGAGAGAGAGAGAGAGAAGGAGAGAGAGAGAGAGAGAGAGAGAACAACAAAAAGAGAAACAGGAAGAGAAAGAGAGCAATGGGGAGGTAAGGAAAGGGTGACCCTGCGCCGTCTAGGGGCAATGCAGTATTTTGGTCCTCCGGGGTGTCCCCGCTCCGGGATTGCAGGCGCGCAGTCTAGCACGGTCGGAAGGTTATGCGGAAGCCCACCAATTGGCCACTTTGAGCTGTTCGAAGTGGCAAGCACACAATACTAGTTGATGTTGAAAACAAGGTTTTGATTTCCTCAGGGCTCCAGGGCGCTTTGGGGTCCTCTGGCGTGCTCGTGGGGTCCTGTTGGGGGACAGTCGAGGGTCGCGCAGCCGCCCTGGGAAGTTGTAGTGCTGCTCCAGGGGGCGCCTGGGGCTCGGTCGCGGGGTCTTCGGGCCGCCCCAAGGTTCCAGACGTGGCCGTGGTGTCTCCTGGGCCAGCGTGGGGCCGTTGTGCGCCCACCCAGGGGCTTTCCCACCGAGGCCTGCAGGGCCGTCTGCACGAAGGACTATTGTAAGACTTGGCGTTGAGGACGTCGTGGGATCTGAACCGCGGGGGCCTCCAGCTTTTGCTTCGCAGGGAGCAGCACGCATCGTACGACTCGAAGGATCGTGACACACGCCTGCCACCGCACGGTTGGCGGCGGACCCTGTGGAGTTTTCACGAAACCTTTGTATACTCTGTTCGCTCCATGCGTCAATGTTGATTTGGCTTCTCCTTGGCAATCTGGCACGGCGTGGCCGTCGGTTAACTAATGATCCTTCTAGAGGGCGAAGAGCCGGGCATTCTTAGTTGAATACATGGGCGCGGTTCCCCAAGTTGCGGGGGAAACCCCCAAAACGCATAAGAGTCTTGGCCTCTGCGAGACTCCGGGCCCCTTGTCCAGTAATCTTCGCTCTCCTACACCCCTGCCTCTCTCGTATGCAGGCAGAGGGGTCAGTGGCTGGGGTGTTGGCCCTCTACCCAGGGAGGCAACATAGTTTTGAATGACGCCGCCCCCTTCTCAGAGGCCCCCCCTGCCTTCCCAGAAGGCCGCCACCCTGACACTGTCCCCTTCTGCTCGCCGCCGGCCGATGCATCCGATCTTCACTCTTCGCGCTCTCCATCAGGACAGTGCTTGTGTAGGCTCGGGGAATCCGCGCTGCTGCGAGGCCAGACACAGTAATACTGCGGTTTGTACAGGATCGCTGCAGCATAGAAGAGCAGGAACGGGTGACAAGGAGGAGATTATGACGATGATGATGATGGTGGTGGTGATGATGATGATGGTGATGATGATGATGCCGATGATGATGCTGATGATGATGGTGGTGGTGCTGATGATGACGATGACTACGGTGATGATGATGATGATGATGATGATGATAATAATGATGATGACGATGATGATGATGATGGTGATGATGATGATGATGCTGATGATGATGATGATGATGTTGTTGTCGGTGGTGACAATGGTGATGCTGATGATGCTGCTGCTTATGATGATGGTTATGATGATGCTGCTGATGATGATGGTGGTGGTGCTGCTGCTGACGACGATTATGCTGTTTATGATGGTGGTGGCAGTGATAATGGTGCTGCTGATGATGATACAGGTAATGATGATGTTGATGATGATGCTGCTGATGATGATGATGATGATGATGATGCTGATGCTGGTGATGATGGTGATGCTGATGATTATGGTGGTGGTGGTGGTGTCGGTGGTGGTGATAAGGATGACGCTAATGATGATGACGATGCTGCTGCTGATGATGATGATGATCAGGAGGAGGAGTCGGAATAGGATTGTATGTTGAGGAGGATCAGGTGGAAGATCAGGCTGAAGGACGAAATTGCGATGGGGGAGGGGGAGGCGGAGGTGGGAAGGAGGGAGGAGGGATGAGGAGAAGAAGGAGGACCAGTGTAACCTCAAGACGCATCAACGATGTTGCAGTCGAGCCTCCTCCCAGTTTTCCCGGCAGTAATGTACATATGTTCCATTCGGGAAGTGGCCCTTTTGAAGACAACCGTCTGGGAATCCCACGTCGTGCCAGGACACCATACCCAGGTCTTCCACGCCGCGGACCAGCGTGACTGTTTGCGCCCTGACGGTCCTGAGTTGTGCCAGAAAACCAGTCCTGGGATCCCGACACCGCGAGAATCAGAGTGACAGCTGCGTCTTGACCATCCTCAATCGTCCCATCACGCCGCTCCTGTGACTTTAACCGTATGAGTCCGTGACGCTGTCGTAAGCTTTGAAGACGGGTGTGCGCGGTGTTAAGGCGAGAGCAACATATTGAAAAGGTGTCGTTCCCGTCCTTGGAGGAGGAGGAGGAGGAGGAGGAGGAGGAGGAGGAGGAGGAGGAGGAGGAGGAGGAGGAGGCGGTTGGTAAACTTTTAAGGCGAGAGCCACGCTTCAAAAAGGAATCGCCTCTCATCCTCGAAGCCGTCGATCACTTTCAGAACAATCATGCGCGGCGCTATGGCGAGAGCAACATGTTGAAATGGAGCCGCCCTCCATCCGCGAAGCTGTCGCGAACTGTTAAAACGATTGTGCGCGGCGCTGAGGCGAGAGCCACATTTCGACAAAGGAAGCCCCTTTCATCCTTCAACCCGTTGCCAACTTGTCATACGAATGTACGCACTCGGCACTACGGCGAGAGCTCCATCCATGAATCTGCTGCAAACTGTTAAGACGAATGTTTGCGGCGCTAAGGCGAGAGCCACATTTTGAAAGCGGCCTGCCCTCCATCCTTGAACCTGTTCACAAATGTCAGGATTCAGGATCGTACATTGTCAGGAAGTCTGAGGCGAAACGGCTGGCCCGCCTTACCGACACCTCTAGGGTGTGTGATACCGATGAGTTTTTGATAAGGAAATGGATGGAGGAGGAGAAGGAGGAGGAGAAACTCTCTTCCCATTCCCTTCCCCTCCCTCCCTCCTCTGGAAGACGCCAATGATCCACATAGACCCATCCTGGCTGGGCCCATCCTGGGATATGCTCTCCTGGCCTCTCCCCAAACAGTGCTCTTGCACTGAGGGATTTTTGTTTCGTGATCCTTTTGTATTCAGTGTTTTACCGATCGGCGCGGGCCCTTGCACCCCCCCCGCTCCCCCCCCCCATGGAGTAGACCTCGGCTGTTTTCTGGCGCCTGTCTCGAGCGGGTGGAGGCTGCCCCAGCGGCAGCACGCTTGCAAGCAGTCGCACTAGAAGCAGAGGTCTGGAGCCGGACCCCCCCCTCTCCCCCCCCGTCCGCCCCATGTCGAGACGCCGACTCGAAAAAGCGTTCCCCTTTCCGAGCTCAGCCATCGGGTGGGCCCCCCCCCACGGTGCCCCCCACGATGCCCCCAAGGTGCCCCCAGTGGGAGGGGAGGAGGAGGAGGAGGAGGAGGAGGAGGGGAGGAGGAGGAGGAGGAGGAGGAGGAGGAGGAGGAGGAGGAGGAGGAGGAGGAGGAGGGAGGAGGGAGGGAGGGAGGGAGGGAGGGAGGGAGGGAGGGAGGGAGGGAGGGAGGGAGGGAGGGAGGGAGGGAGGGGGAGGGAGGGAGGGGGAGGGAGGGAGGGAGGAGGGAGGGAGGGAGGGAGGGAGGGAGGGAGGGAGGGAGGGAGGGAGGGAGGGAGGGAGGGAGGGAGGGAGGGAGGGAGGGAGGGAGGGAGGGAGGGAGGAGGAGGAGGAGGAGGAGGAGGAGGAGGAGGAGGAGGAGGAGGAGGAGGAGGAGGAGGAGGAGGAGGAGGGGGAGAGGGAGGAGGAGCTCCCTCTTCGAGCTCAGCCCTCAAGTGGACCCCCCCCCCCTGGTGCCCCCACGGTGCCCGCGCGGGGGCGCGCTCCGTGGTCGCCTCGTGCGCCGGCCGCGTGCCCCGGGCTTTCTCTCCGGGTGCCCGCCCCGTGGGCGCCCCGTGAGCGCCTCCGTGGGCGCCTCGGGGCGGTGGCCGCGCTCCAAAAGATTCGTCCGGTTCCCGCCCGTGCTGGGCTTCTTTCGACTCGTCCGATCAGGTTCGGCTTCGACTTCGGTGGCTCCCGGTTCCCCTTCGATTCGGCCTCGGGTTCCGATTTGGGCCCCGACTTCTCAGTGGAGGCCTACTGGCAC